CTGAAATTCATGGAAAAGTAGACATAACTTTTGTAATACGTGAGAGACTGAAAATTGATAAGTGCGTCTTGGCTGCAATAATAATTGTTGATAGTAACGGTAAGGTTATGAATATTCATTATTTGAAATAAAAAGGATCCTAGTATCACGCTCAGAATTCACAAAGGAAGTAAAAGAAGAAGAAGAAAAACTGGATGAAATTTCAATTAATATGGCAAGCAATTTATGTGTGATCACTAAAATAATTTATGTGAAAAATAATGATTCTAGTACTTAATTATTCAACAGGAACAAAGCACAAGAAATGACGAAAAGGAACATAATCGATCAATTTTGAATTCAAGTTCTAATTCTGCTTAAATATTCTTTTCCAACTGAACCAAAAGAAAACAAGACTTCTCTTTTGAACTTAAGTGGTAAGCACATTTATCATTGAAAAGTGTAAAAAAGGCGAGGAGACAATCGACATTGGGACAATATGAAGAGCGTGCTCATAAAGGGGAAATTTGATATACTACGCACGCAAAAAATAGCCATTGTCTAATTATTTGGATTTATGATACTGGGTCGATATTTTGTTTTTGATAATTACCCACACTTCTCTGAATACGAGCACCTATGCTCGCTTATCAATTGTTGTATTGAATAATTGCTCTACATATTTGCGGGTGACGTGTAAAACGTACACATGTATAAGGTTAATTGAATAGGATTTCTTTCAGAGATCCTGACTTGTAGTTCTAATAACGTAAGTTTTCTGCACGGCGGATTGGCGTGAAAAGTTCTCGATTCGATTTTTAATTTGTCCTGCCGTTTAGTAGTAAAATGCCCCAACAATTCAACCTGTAGAATATCTGGTTTTGCAGAGACTGTATGCAGTTCACACCGACCACTCATCTTGAACGTTCCACAAAAAAAGAGGCGCACGTTCTCATGACACTTCGTCTTTAAGTAGGATCCAACGTACGGCAAGCTCTTACTTAGGGACATTTTGGACAATGCTGTATCAATGGCCAAATGGCACTGATCAATGCGGCCACATTCCACTTCAAGCGCACCAAGTGGCTTACAGATCTCGCTTGAGCTCTTCCTTATTACTTTCTCGCTCCCATAGGGTAGAGAGGAAGTATTGTCATCCTCCAAAAAAAAAAAAAAAAAAAAAAAAAAAAAAAAAAAAAAAAAAAAAAAAAAAAAAAAAAAAAAAAAAAAAAA